CCTGGTCTACATAGTGAGTTCCAGGCCAGCTGGGGCTACAGGGAGACCCTGTCTCAGAAAAAAAAAAAAAGAACAAAATAAATAAATAAAATAAAATACTGATTTAATGGAGGGAGAAAAGCTAATTTATGACAGCTGTCTGCTACTGCCAATCAGAAGAGCAAATATGAGAATCAAACCAGAGGAAATAAGTTGATTGTGCCTGCAAGAATCATTCTGTCCAAAGAAAACTTTGCAGTAAAGACTGGGGCCAACTGGCACAAAGCTCAGATTGCAAGGGCTAAAGTGGAACCTAGCACCTGAGTCAGGGCACAGCAGCTGAGATATCAAGCTACCAAACCTCCAGGTCACCCTAAAAAGGTACTATGAGTTGTACCCACCATCAGTGCAGGCTCCCTAACTGCTGTTCAAAAAAACACTGACCTGGGGCATGGGTGGAATTGCTTTGAATTGATATGGTCAAACCCAGCCAGGCAATGAGATCATGAAGCAAAGACAAAGAAGTGAAGCTTCTCCCAGATGCAGGGAGCTAGCACTAAAGTTGCTGCCATTCCCAGATGGCTCCGATCCCAAATCCAGGGTCCAAGGTCCACAATCAGAGGTGCGTTAGTGAGGGACCTGGGGACCAGCTAGCACTCAAAAGCAGGAGTCTGGGGCTAAAGGAAATAATTCAGTGGTTAAGAGCATTTACTTCTTTTGCAGAGGACCAGAGTTCAGTTGCTAGCACCCACAATGGGCAACTCACAACCACCTACCTATAACTCCAGCTCCAGGAAGATCTCATGCCTTTGGCCCCCATGGGCACCTGCATTCCCACGCACATAGACACACACACACACACACACACACACACACACACACACACACATATATAATTAAAATGTTTAAAATTTAAACTTAAATATATATTAAAAAAAGGGGGGGCTAGAGAGATGGCTCAGTGGTTGAGAGCACTGACTGCTCTTGCAGAGGATGCGGGCTCAATTCCCAGTACCCACATGGTGACTAAGAACCATCCTTAACTCCAGTTTTAGGGGAATCTGATGCCCTCTTCCGACCTCGGAGACACTGCATGACATGGGTGCACTCACATGCACGCAGGCAATACACTCACACACACAAAATAAAAATAATAAGCTGGGCATGGTGGCACACACCTTTAATCCCAGCACTCGGGAGGCAGAGGCAGGTGGATCTCTGTGAGTTCAAGGCCAGCCTGAAAAGATGATAATAATAAATAGAATATTAAATTTTTTTTTTTTAAAAAACACAAGAGTCTAAGCAGTGGGCTTAAGCTGGGCATCTAAGGGTTTCAGCCCCTCTTCTGGTTTGATGCTCATACTTGTTTTGCAGCTTGGCAGTAGCAATCCACCACAGAGGATGTCTCATCCTCCTAGAGTTCATGTGGGTACACGTGGCATCTGCATCCATTCCTTTGACTCTAAATTTCCAAATGCCTACTAGAAACTTCTCCTAGAAGTCTTTCTCCTCTCAAAGACGCTCTGCCTTTTCCTCCATCTCTATTGCCCTCACGCCTTCAAACTGACACGATTCAGCCTTTAGCAGGCCTCCTGACCTACAGTAACGATAATGGTTAACATGGCAGGTCTGTGCTGAACGCTTGATATGAAAGAGCTCATTTAATCCCACCAACTCTATTATGATAGCTCTAATTTGCTCAGGTTCAAAAGATAGTACACGGCAGATCCAAGCCTCATAGAGGACTCTGTGGCCCACCCTACAGTTATACAACCTCTTCCAAAAAGAGGGAGTTGAAACAGAGGCTGAATATTGGAAGTTCCTCTGGAGTGTAGGTGTTGGGGACTATTTAAAGACTGGAGCTTCCAGTCTAAGCAAACAGTCAACAAGATGGAGAAGGTGACAAAACTGGAAGGCAATGTAGGTGATGAACAGAGCAGCTGGAGGCTAGATACTGGCTCCAGCAATCAGAGGGAGCTGGGTACCATCTCATGTTAGCTATCTACAAAGACACTGGAGGAGGAAGCAGCTTCAGCCCTTAGCAAGGCCTACTCACTGCCTCACACTTGCTCTCAGGGCAGGCTGCTTACAAATACTGTTAAGGTGTTTTCATGAAGTTAGTCCAGTCGTGGGAGTTCCCAGGCTCCAGAAAAGTACTAGAGACTGGTGTGGTCTGGCTGATTGTCATGCTGAGATTCATAAGGAAAGCATAAACAGTGATGAGAGGACAGAGGGAAGGCATACAGACACAATCACAACACAGAGCCTGTAGGATGCCAACTAATGGGCAGTATGGAAAGACAAGATCCCCATTCTTAAATGTCCTATTTTCTAACATCACTCCCCACAGTTAGCTCCTTCTAAGATGCTTTGTGCATATGGAGGAGTTTGTTTCTTTCAGCCCAGGTTGTTCCTTTGTACTCAAAATACTCCTATGTATAGTCTTGAATATATCCCCAAGCCAATGGGATTCTGTAGGTGTCAGGTTAATTTTAAAACTTCCCAAGGTCATGAAGCGTTTTGGAACTACAGCAACTTGGAAGTTTCTTGCCCAAGTCCCTCATACTTTACACAAACTTTAGTCACTGTAACTTAGCACATTCAGAGAGGAGGGCAGGACCAAGAGCTCATGCCTCACTCTTCTGCTACAGCAAATTCCTTTGTCCTCATCTCACCACCTAGAAGGCTTTCTTCTTTTTTTCTGTTTTCCTCCCTTCTAGAGTTTTCCATCACAAGTCCAGTGAAGTGCTCAGCACCTGGCACACAGTTGATGCAAATGCTAATTTGGATTCAATGATCTCAACTTATTAGGAGGAAGATATTAATTTACCATAAGATGTGCATGACTGACAGCTGTCTCTGAATTTTTCCAAATATTTGCATTTTAAGATAACTTGTTGAAGATTTTCTGAAAAGAAATAAATACTTTCCCACCAAAATTTGTTAGAATAAATTTGTAAAAATTACCCTAGGACTAGACATTGTTTCTTAGACTGAAACTGTGCCCAATTCTTTAGCACCAGCATGCACATCGTGGAGGGAAGCGTTGTGTTCTAACTGCCAGTTTTAACCACTAGAGGGAGCTCAAGGCTCCTGCTACAGCCTCATCCCCAGGCCAAGGCTTGGCCGCTTAAAACGGTTTTACTGGATCTAGGGCTGCAAGGACGGCTTCTCTCTTCAGATCATCCTTTGGGATTCTCTCTTCTCTAATGCCCTCTATCTTGGGAATGCATCTTCCCAGAGGCTCGTTCAGGTAACCCTTATAAAGAAATAATTTTGCCTTTCTCTTTGCCCTGATCTTTTCCAGGAAAGAAAGTGGCAAACTATAATGAATGAGGAATCAAATGTGGGTTCAGAAGTACAGGATCAGGAAGCTACTCTATCAGCCTTCAGTGCAGAACACTGCTCAGGCCCAGGAACAAAGATGCCCTCAAGCCCTACCTTGTACATCATCAAGACTTAGTTTCTGTTACAGGTGTCTGGCACAGGAAGAAAGTCAGTTTCCAGAATTTGGTCACTATCTATCTGCATCCTACGTAATTCCACCAAGTCACAACACACATCTCTTACAGAACCAAAAGTTGCACACCCCACTTCCTTTACTCCCCAGCTCAATTCCTCTATTTCAAAAGAGAGAGAAAACCCCAATCACCTATAGCCATTTCAAATGTGGTCCTTGGGCCAGCACCATAGCATAACCTAAGAACTTGTCAGAAATACAAAGCTGAAGACCCCACCTTGGAACTACAAGCAAACATCACAATTCTAAAAATGGGCCCAGCATCCTGTCTATTCCTGGTGACTGTGACACAGAGGGAACAACAGCCCTACAGTGTAGCTAGGAGCTGACCCATCCCAAATTAATTGTGCCTCTGGAACTATAAAATCAGCATTTCCCAATCACAGACTATGTGGACTGAGGAAAGACCTCTTTAAAGAGGCCAAAATAACCCTGATCCTAATCTAAATGGCAAGCTTATTCCACGGCACCAGGCCTGGTGTAAAGCCCTGTACATCCTTCTTGATCACTTGTGCAGGAGGCACCATCAACCCTCAGTGGCACAGATGAGAATCTTAGAGTTGAGAGAGAGAATAAATTGTCCATAATTACATAGCCACCAGGTGGTAGAAGCAGAATGCGAACAGAGATCTATGGGGTTCCAAAGTCTTAGGGATTAAGTCCCAATGCCATGTGATAAATACTCTGGTTTCCCAGGTAATGGGTCAGGTTAGGTAGGGAGTCTCTGGATGGGCTTCTTGAGTCTTTCCTGGCTTCTGTTCAGCCAGTGGCCTGAGAACTGCTTTTATTATCCCACTCCCTCTGTTGCATGGTCCCGACCCCAGACCTGTGCCCTGCTGCTCTGCTTTTCTGGGATCTAGGCCTTATAGCTACCAGCACTTCTGTCTCCCCTGGCTTCTCCAGTGAGTCCTAGCTGACCAAGTCACAGTCAGACTCTCAGAAACAAGCATAAGCTAAGAGAGTAACTTCCAGCCCATTCCATGTGTTTCCAGGCTCTGAGCCATCTATGCCTACACCAATGCAGTCTTTAGAGAATGAGCCAGTGCTTTTGTGATCTGCTCAAATAGGGGCTAATGGGGCTGGAGAGATGGCTCTTGCAGAGAACCAAGGTTCGGTTCTCAGCATCCACATGATAGCTTACATCAGCCTATACCCAGTTCTAATGGATCAAACACCCTCTTCTGGCTTCCATAGGCACTGTATTCATACGGTATACTTACATACATTCATGAAAAACATTCATACACATAAAATTTTAAAATAAATATAGAAAAAAGTGTGAGTCATTATACCATGCCTTCACTACAGCACATGACCACATGATCCAGGGCTTGAAACAGCTATCAAAGAAGGGACAAGAGTCACTGTCCCAGGGACCCCTAGAGAATAATAAAGTAGCTGATGAATTCACAACATCCCTCCTCCACCCCTGTAGAACCATGAGGACAGCTGTCTTCCCATGTGGCTCTGCACGCCTCCCCCGGTCTCCAGGGTAGCATACCTGGCTTGCTTTCATGCTGCGGGGATTCCTGAGGGCTCATGGGGTTGCTGCTTGGGGTTTCTCTGTAGGAGGACGAGGCCCGAAGAGTCACTGTTCCCTTCCCAGTGCAGATTTTTGTAGGATCCATACCTGAAAGGAAAAGACCCAAAAGAGAAGACTAAATCCAAGACTCCTGAGGAATGCACACTATAGTCAGTTAGCAAATTGTTACAGCTGGGAATGAGATGAACCTGGTTACAACTATGCCAAGTCTTCAGCCATGTTGTCAATGTGGGTGGTGGAGGTACACCACACACCATGAGATTAGGAAAGATTAGACAAGGTAAATTCCCAACACACGTATGAGTTACAATGTCAGCTGAAAACACTTCCCAGTGAAAGCTGGTTTGTTCCTTTAATTAAATGATGTTTGGATTGGTAAGCAGACTTCTATCCAATTAGTAATGCATGGCTCAAGAAAGAATTTGTGAAAGATCTCTCAAGCTTGCAGACCATCCCTCTCACAAAAGAGCAAGTGGGCAACATAATGAAATGGGAAAATGTTCCGAGGAGAAGCTCTACTTTTGCAGTTCTCCAACAGGAAGAGAAAAGCAAACTTTCTATTAGTAGGTCAAGCCCCCTGAACTATGAGATAGAGGAGGACACTGTTCAGGGGTGAGAGCCTTGCATTCCAATGTAATGAGAGAACTCACTGCCAGGAGGGTGGCCAGACGGCTTGGTTCCCAAGAGGCAGTATTCACTGAATCTGCTGAATCTACACAGAGGCCTGGCTACCCCCCCCCCCTGGAGCTGCACCAGGGCCTATAACAGACTCCAGACATCTTTGAAAAGGATCTCAAAGTAGTCATCCTCATCCAGGGTGATGTGCCACAGGTCCTCCATGGGTGCCTTAAACCACAGAGCTCACTCAAAGGGTACATGCTATGTCTTTTCCTACACAAAAAGATATGCTTCTGATAAAGTTTGACTTCCAAATTGAGCACAGTAAAAGACTGACAACAGTAACCAACGTAAAATGATGCAATTATAACACTATATACGTTATTTAAACTTATGAATTATTTATTTCTAGAAATTTTCATTTAATATTTTTTCATTGTGATTCACCATAGCTAACTGAAACCATGAAAAGTGAAACTGCAGTTAACAGGGTGGGAGGACTGCTTACTTCAAAAGGTCTGGTGCCCTTTCTCAAGGAAAATCAGTAACAAGGCAGGAAACCAGTGCAGACCACGCAATTCCACGAGGCAGATGTGCCAAGTGTTTATGTGCAGCTGAGCTAAGCGGAACTCCATACTTGCTTCCCACCCTCCACCCCTAACACTGCTCACAGCCTTGCTTCCTGATCTAAAATTACCACAAGGAGGATGGCTGTTGACACTGCAGTGTGCCATTGGGCAGGGTGCAGGACCCTGGCATGTCTTTTCCTTGGTGATGGCAGTGAGCGCCAAGCCCCTTTTCTCCCTGTTCTCCATTCTTGCCCCTTTGCTGACAACTCAGAAAGATCACCCCTCGTGTTGTTTCCAGAAATTTTTACTTAATATTTAAAGATGTCCTGGGTCTGTTATGGGCCCCAGCAGCCCTGTTCCATGGGAAGTAAAGCATAAATCCCAGGGCACACAGCAGAACAGGAGGCAACCCCAGAAAGCATCTGACCCAATCAAGAGACTACAAGATGAGTGTTACACAACTATTGGAAAAGGGGAGGACTAACTGGCAAGTCCATAGCCCATCTGTAGGCTCCCAGACACACAGCCAGGTCTTCTGAAAGTGTCACAGGCTCCATGTTCTACTTTGTCCAGAGGAAACTTTGAGTCTGGGCCACATGTAAACTGCACACCTCCACCTCTCAGAGAGGAGAGGCAGGAAGTGATTGCAGGTGAAGCAGGCCTGGGGTCAGGGTGCTCTGTGGAAGGGCCCTGAGTATCACAGGGGGAGTCAACATCTGGCATCTAAAGTGGCTGCCTTAAATCCAGCCAGACTCAGAGGTTCCCTGGGAAACCAGTCAACTCTCATGGAAACTGGAGTTTTAAATAAAGTATTAGGAGTTACAACCCTCCTGGGACAACCCCACCCCAGAGCAAAGGTTCAGTGTCTGCACTAAAGTCCTTCTAAAGGGCAAGGCTCTCTCAGGTCCTTCCCGTTTCCTGGTTCTCTCTCTCTCTCTCTCTCTCTCTCTCTCTCTCACACACACACACACACACACACACACACACACACACACACAGAAAACAAACAGGAAGAGAGAGGAAATGCCTCCTACACATGCAAGGATTAAGTCTCAAAGCATGGTGTTAGATGGAAAGAAATCATGCACGATCCAACAATTCAAAATGGAAGCAGCTCCAATGAGAGATACCTGGAGGGAGTACTAGGCCTGAAGTGCTTTTCATTGTCTTCACAGGAATTATTTTAACAGCAGAAATAGAGCGTGCACGTAAAGGGTCGGCAGTTGCTGAAAACACAAAAGGGTAAAAGGTGCATCTAGAAAGAACATTTGGGAAAACTCAGGCAAGTTGAGGAACTGTGTGGGAACAATAGGAGGAAGCTGCCGACAGGAAAGGGACAATGCAAAGAGCAGTAGGTGCAGTCAATTGGAAAGAACTTGCTTTGTCTCTTCACACTTCTGGGCCAAGACAGCAGAAGCCTTCCTCCAGCCATCACCCAAATACAGTTGGTCAGTGTTTATTGGTGCCTCCTGCCACATCAGGAACTTGCCAAGGCTCTGGACAAAGAGATGTACAGAGATACAGATGGCCTGGCAAATAGAGGAAGGGGAGTACAACAGAGTCCAAGGTGTCCCTTGGGAAGTGGCAGGTCATCTGCTATGCGGTAGGGACTCTGAAGAGAAAGCCATGGCTGCAGGCGAGAACAGCAACACAAAGAGCTCATGAGTTGTCTGGTCCCTTTGGCCCTCGAAATTACTTCCACCAAATCCTAACTTTTAAGGTATTGTGCTTGCCCTGACAGACATCACCTCTGACCCCAAGCAAATCAGAACCCCATGTGTTAGGAAACAGATGGTTTAGCTAAAATCCACCCTTGCCTAAGGGGTGCCAAGTGTCCAAGTGCATGATTAAGACTCTGGGCAGTACCACAGTGCACAGTACCAGACACTGGCGCTCCATTCTCTGCCTGTCCAGAACCCCATCTTCATGGCTGGTCCTTCCCCAAACTTCTTGTGAGACCTCACCCTTTCTCTTTAATGGCAGCAAATAAAGATGAGCTATGGTGCCAAAGTCACTCGAGAACACCACCCAGGGAATCTCAGAGTCACAGAACACAGAATGACAGGGCTGCTTGGGAGTAAGACTATGGAATCAGCATCACGATCCCAGGATTGTCAAGGAGGCAGGAGGAAGGGTGGGAAGCACCTTCAAGGGCGGACTGTAGCCCTCCTGCCCACAACACTGCTGCTTCAAAAGGCACACAGCAGTCATGGGGAATATGGCTGCCAATAATTAAGTCAAAAATGGCAATTCTAGGCCAGGCATGGTGGCGCATGCCTTTAGTCCCAGTACCCGGGAGGCAGAGGCAGGCAGATCTCTGTGAGTTCAAGGCCAGCCTGGTCTACGTAGCAAGTTCAGGCCAGTGGGGGCTACAGGGAGACCCTATCTCAAAAAGACCAAAAGAAAAGAAAAAGAAAAGAAAAGAAAAGAAAAGAAAAGAAAAGAAAAGAAAAGAAAAGAAAAGAAAAGAAAAGAAAAAAGAAAATTCTGCACATCTTAAGACAGGAATGAACTTGCACAGGAATCTTACTGAGCATGCCTGACTAGGGCAGGAGATTTGGGTGCTATTTTCAAAGGAAAAAGTAAGAGGCCAGGCCAACCATTCAGGATCACTCTATTGTTCTCAAGGACAGAGGCTAAGGCTGGAGCCCAGTTATCCTTTCTCCTAGCTCAATGACCTCTGCAGGTGAGTCTTAGGATAAATGAAAGCCATCTCTACCTGCCATGCTCCTCCCACTTCCTGAAGTCTCTTATGTAAACACATTCACATGGCAGAGTTGGTGGCCCCATAGATTTCAAAAGCCCCTCCCACGCTCCCCCTGTAGCCACTCCATAGTCCTTAAGTGCAACACAGCCAGGAATACCCAAGACCCCAAAAGCACAGTCCACATGAACTCACAACCTGTGTGGGGGAAGATGGCCAGGCAGGGAGGTGGGGAACAGGCCAGTACAAGACACCTTTTGTCCCCAGGGCAGGATCATGCCACCCAGGCCTCCCAGCCCGATCTTCTGCTCTCTCTGCTTTCTTCCCGAGGGGTATCCTGTGTACACATCTTGCCTTGTCTCAAAGGGAACACTTGGCTGCGCTAGATGGGAATTACAAAGGCCAAACACGCCAAACTCTCTGAAATTAATCTTTGGGAGATGTTCTATTTGTGTTCCATGCCAGGATTTTTACCCTTTCTCTTGGATACCATAAAATGCAGCTAGATGAACCATTCATGGAATCCCCAGGATGGGATTCAGGAATAAACACTGAGATTCTCAAATCCCTCATTCTATAGACAAGAGAACTCACACCTGCAGAGATAAAAGGCCTCCCCCTCCAACCCACCACCTCTGCTTTTAAGGGGCAGAACTAGAACTGAAGCATATCACATTGCTCAAACTCCAGTTTTCTGTCACCCCACACTGCAAAAAAACAATGCCAGGTCAGGGTGATCTCAAAAGTCTCCTCCATGCCCCTTCCTCCTCTTCCTCTTCTTTTTCCTCTTCCTCCTCCTCCTTCTTCTTCATTTTTTTAAGAGGATTTATTAAGCAAAAGAGAACACTCTCAGTAGCTAAAAGGGAAAAGTTGAGAGGGAACCTAGAAGTTGGTTGCCCCTCAAAAGTCTTACCACATCATTTAGTCCACATTTCTGTCTCTTATTCTGAATTTTTAAAAATTATTTTTATTTTATGTGTATGAGTATATTGTCTACATGTGTAAGTGTACCCATGACATGCAATGCCCACGGAGGTCAGAAGAAGGCGTCAGATCCTTTGGAACTGGAATTACAGACAGTTGTTAGCGACCATGTGGGTGCTAGGAAATCAAACCTGGGTCCTCTGTAAAAAGCAGCCAGTGCTCTGAACCACTGAGCCATCTCTCCAGTCCCTTATTCTGAAATTTTTTGAAAATGAAAATCTGAGGGCTGAGAAGGCGGCTTGGTTCAATGCTTACCTACATGCCCAGGCCCTTGGTTCAATCCCCAGCATTGAAGGGAGAAAAAAAAACAAAAAAATTGAGAGGCTATACATAAAACTAACGATACAGAAATAATTTCTTTCAGTGATCTGGATTCTTGCCTCACAGGACTGTGGATGTGTCCCTATTTATAACACGTGAAGGTGATATGCCAGATAAGGGCTATTCCAGGCTCATGAGTGCCACATGGACCATGCCCGATACTCACCTGCGTCTCTATCTGATCCATCATCATAGGATCCTTGTGAGCTAAGGACAGTTCTTTTTTTTTAAAAAAAAATATTATTTATTATTTTATGTGTATGAGTGTATTGCCCACATGTGTGTAAATGCGCTTGTGTCCTGCAGTGCCCACAAAGGTCAAAAAAGGGCATCGTATCTCCTGGAACTGGAGTTATAGACGGTTGTTAGCTGCCATGTAGGTACTGGGAATCGAACCTGGGTCCTCTATAAGAGCAGTCAGTGCTTTTCACCTCTGAGCCATCTCTCCAGCCTCCGGGAAAACTCTTAATACATCATCTCGTGGTGGGAAAATGGCAGCCTCAGACCCATGAAAAACAGAGCCCAGGTCTCAGAAAGTCATCAAAGGAACTAGGCCTCCAGGTCATAGCCTGATTATGCTAATGTTGTGGTCCAACAGGCATTAGCCTGTTCTACAAGTGTTTTCTGATACCAAGCCAGGGTTCCCTTTGACAGCCTTACCTTTGTCTGGCCCATGGCTTCCAGGTGCCAAGCCATTCACAACAGCTTTAGAAGTTCCAACATCACATTCTGAAAGAAAAAAAGAACAGAAACTTGTGACTGTGCCTATATTCACTGAGTCCCACGTGGTATGAGGTGGGGACAGAGCTGAGGTGTCCCACCCTGACAGTCCCTGGAAGTGGCCTCTATTGCACAACCTACATGCTCATCCCATCAGTATTCTTAGGCTTGGGACAGGCCACCTAGGGTGCATGACAGAGTTCTGAAATACCTTGTGGTCTGAACCAAGCAGGATGTAAAAGCTATTTAGGGGCTGGAAAGCGCATGTGATAGATGATATAAATTCTTTTGCTTACCTGGAATGGCTTCCTTTGGCATTTAAAAAGTGTTTAAACATCACTTTAAGTTCTATTTGTCAAAAGTCAAGCTGTCCCTTCAGTGAAGTGTCTTCAAAGACTACCCCTCCTCATCAACTCAGTCTAGAACCCTGTATAATCGCCCCAGAGATGCTATGCCGTTCTGACCACTTCTACCTCCCTTCTCTACCCAAAACCTCACACGCATGCCTCAGTTGAGTACTTTTCAGCTTGTCCTTGTCTGTTCCACTGGTGAAAGACTTCTTTTCTTACCTTAGGGAGGTCCTATGGTGTCCTTGGGGCTCACTTGAACTGTCACCTCCTCAGTGTCAATTGAGATTTTCCTGAGTTCTGCTTAGCTGCAGACAATACCGAGACCCTCCCTCTACCCAGTTCTCCATCTAAGCCTTTGGGGAACTTGGAGGCAGGCCAGGGAAGACAGGAAGGCAAGCAGACCGTGTCACCCTGAGTGAGATACATGGCCAGTAAGACTGAAGGGACCCTCCACAGCAAACCAACCAAGCTACAAACATAATTATAACTACAATTCTTTAAACATGTTTGCCTGGATTTGAGGCCCATATTGGGAATTCCATAAGCAGTACCTCACTGTTGCCTTTAGATCAAGTCCTTGTGAACTAGAGTAGGAACTGAAGTTCTGTTGATAAGTTCCTAGGCTCAGAGAGACAAGCCTACCCAAGACCACTAAGCTGAGATCTGAACTGCCGGACTCACAGCACACTTTCTTCCACTACAACTGAGATAAGCATTTTTGTTTTCTGACTTCTTATATAGTCTATTTCTATAAATGCTAGACCTGAAACCCAGTTTCATACCCCAGTAACAAATCTAACTAAAACGAAGTCACCTACTAAGGCTTTTAATGATTAAGTTTCCCAAAGGCTAGACACCTGATAAACACCACAAGCACAGGCCAGCCTGGCTGCTACCTATCCAACACCTGAGCATTACTGTCCTGCGCCATGGCCAGGGTTTCTCAATGTGCATCCTGTTTATGCCTCACACCAACCTACAGATAACAGCTTACTCCCTGGATGTCAAGTCTCCCTTGAACCCTCATTTCAGGGATGGGTGCAAGGTGACTGATAGTAAGACCAGAAATCTAGGTAAAAGAAACATAAGCTCCAGCATCCCAATCATGTGCTCTTCAACTGTCCCATCCCTGTGCACCTGACCTGACTCCCTTTGCGCACATCCTTTTGAGACTGTTGGCTTTGCCTTGAGCTCTCATGGGAAGCTGCCTATGAGCTACCAAGAGGCCCATGTTCTTTTCTTTCCCTTTTTCTCTTTTAATTAAACATAACAACCAAACTGGAATAAGGTTTAGAAAAGCATTTAGAAATCAACACTCAAACTCAGCCTTCATAGCAATATGCTACTGTCTAGCAGCCTGTGTTTGCCGCCACTCCATAGTAGTTGGCTACCCCACACAGGTAATTAACTCCTTAAGGTTCAGCTTCCCCATCTGTATCATGGAGGTATTAAACCAGCCCAGCAGACAATGCTTTCCTCCATGAGTGGCAGCCCAGGCCCGGTTGAAATAATAAGAACACATTGTTTTCATGCTGTTCTTTGCACTAAAGATGCAAACAGATGTTTTCCATGTAGCCGCTGTCGTCCAAATGATCACTTTCAGCAGCGGCATATTATCCCACTCATCAAGTAAACCTTCATGGTGGTTAAGGTTTTTGTTTCCTTAAAATTTAGAAATTCCCAAGACTCAGGATTCTGAGGTCAAAGGGACAGGATTTTGGACTCCAGTGGTAATGTTTGCTTCCAACACCTGTTTAAGAGGGATCAGGGGAGGAGGAGAGTCCCTGGGGGATTGGCACACCCTCATCCACTCCCTCCTCCTCCTGCCTTAAAACTGCCAGGAGCTAAGCCCAGAGGAGGAAACTTCAGGCAGCATAGCAGAAGTGTGTGTTTTTAAAGAGAAATAGGTCCCAGCCTATTTTTAAATAAAAACAAAGGTCATAAGGGAGGGTTGGGCATAGCTGGGCTGGCAAGGCCTAACACATGTGAAGCCCTGAGTTTGCTCCACGTAAACAGGGCATAGTAGCACACACCTGTAACTTCAGCACTCAGAGGACGGGGTTGGGAAAATCAGGAGTTGAAGGTCATCCTTGGTCACATAGAGTTCAAAGCTAGCCTAGTTTATATGAGATTCTATGAAAAAAACAAACAAAAACCCAGCAACAACAAAAATACCTAGCCAAAAAGGCAAAGAAAAGAAACTAAGTTACAAAGCAACACCAGAGTCTATCGGGCACAGAAAACACACCAAGTACCTGTCTTTGCAAAGAACAACTCTGGGCTGAAGACTGCAAGACCCCACTGATGGAGAATCTGCCTGCCATGTCTTACACACGGTGCTTAGTACATTAAGGGCTTTGCTGCATGCAGTTTTCACAAAATCCCAGTGGGTCAGTGCTTTTACTCTGTCCACATCACAGAGGAGAAAGCAAAGAAGCACCCTGCATGGGCTCCAACTGCACAGGAAGTACATGAAGCAGGGTGCAGTCCTGAGCGGCTCTACTCCACAGCCCTCCCAGGCCTGACCACACATGGTTCTGCACAGCTCAGGATTTGGCTAAAAGAGCACTGAGTGCAAATAAGTGGACAAGGCTTATTTTTATAATATAGAATTCCCTGATAATACTCTCAAAATGAAGCATGCTTAGAGACCCCTGAAGAGTATATCCACATGGTCTCCTGCCTCCCATATCTACCTGCTGGTCCCAGGAAGCCAAGGTGGGCTTAGCCACCAGAAGGAAACTTCTCCAGACTGGAACACTGACCATTCTTAGCTGTATAATGGACAGGGGACTGTTTCCTACTCTGTCTTCCCTGCCTGAGCTTTCCAGCCCAGCCCAAGACTAAAAATAGTCGAAAACACTCATTTTTTAGGTCTTGATTTTTATGCTTTAAAAGCATAAGCAAGTCGTTTTGCCAGCCAGATGAAGGAAGTTTGGATTAGTCTTCATCCAGGGACAATTATGGTTAATCTGTGTACTTTGGGCCAGTCCTTCAGATTAAGAAATGCCACTAAGGTACATAAGTATGCCAAAATTTATCAAATTGCATAGTTAAAATAACTGCATTAATTTAACAGTGAACCTCAAAAATTACAGCTAATTTTGAAAGAGAAGCATCTTTGCTCTGGAAATTGTTATTGAATGTTAATGCTGTAATGAAATGCTTCTAATCATGTGGTTATTAAATAATCTAAAAAAAAGTAATTGACTGTGACTAGTAATAATAAGATATATAGAGATTAGAGACTCATGTGCAAACATCTGAGTGTTAGTTGCATTAAAAATGAGTTTTTCTGTATGAAACAGCATATTTTAAAATGAAATGGAGATATTTTTTAAAGGGTAAAATATCATTCAATTTTATGTCTTATAGGGTTTATACTGAGTTCAATATTGTATAACTCTATTAATTCAACTGTAAACCTAAAAATTTACAGCCAATTTTGAAAGAGATGTATCTTATCTCCGGAAATTGTTATTGAATGTGTCAATGCTGTTGTAATGAAATGTTTCTTCTAATTATGTTTATTAAATAAATAATATAAAAAAGAAAAAAAATTAATTTTACAAAAAAAAAAAAGAATAACTGCAGCTTATTATATGTCAATTACATCTCACTAAAAGAAAAGGGGACCACTGTAAAGGTAGACCCAGAGCACACACAGTGGATGGTATAGTTCTTGACAGACAGTGCACTGAAACTCATTCATACTGTAAGTAGTGTTGTTGCTACTGGGTACCTCAAAGTACATGGTAAAGCTTGAACTGCCAATTGTGTAGATTTGACAGGAGAAAAGCAGGATTTAAAATGACTCACCAGAGCTCATGGTGGTGGCAGGGCAAGTCTTCCGCAACCGGGGCTCTGGGTAGCTCTGCAGAAAAACACGTAACAACAATGGAATGAATGAGTGGCAGGGTCAAGATAAATCCCCAGAGTTAGTATTAAAAATGCAAACACTGTAACCCTTGGTCAAACAGGAGCCACGTGGCCAGGCTTCCAGCTCATGCTGGTCACGGATTCTCAGGACTTTAGGCACCTCATCAGTCGCCTTGCTTTATTTACTTTTGATACCCAGACTAGGTTTAGAGGGAATCCCATATCTCTTCCAGCAATAAGTCTATTAAAAAAACACCAAGTTCTGAATGTTCTTACAGGAATTGCCATAATATACTGCAGGGTTCTACTCTGGTAAATAAACAGTGGCAAACCTATCACACTACAAAAAATAAAAACGAACTTTAAATTACAAGAGTACATGGTTTAAGAAGACTGTAAAAGGAAGGGAGAAAAACTCATTTTAGAAGAGTTAAAAACCACAGTATAACCGATCACCAGAGGTTAGTAAGTAATAGTGAATTCTTACTTATGGCTTGCCATTACAAGGAAATGTTCAAGATGCTCTAAATATCTCAATTTATTTGACTCACAGCAGTAAGCACTAATGTAGTGTTCACACATGAGGCACAGGAAGGTAAAAACAGAGTTGATATTGGAATCTGGGCAGCCTGAATCAGAGTCAGCTCCTAGGCACTGAACTCCCTCACCTAGAGGTGGGAGCTATCTCAGATATTCAGGTGGATAACCCTTGGACTTAGGAGGGTCTCAAATCAAAGAAAGCTTGCAATGTGCTGTCAAAACTCTAATATATATCTAGGTATTTTATTGTTATTTTTCTATAACAAAAGGCATCCATCTGTTTTTTCATTTGTTTGGTTTTGATGATGGTAAAAAATCAAACCCAGGACTTCATGGACACACTAGGCCAAGGGCCCACCTCTAAGCTACTTACCCAGTCCAAAATGTGTCAATATGTTTTGACAAATAAGTTGGGTACAGTGGTACACACTTATAATCCCAGCACTTGAAAGACAGATGTACAAGAATCAGAAATTCAAGGACAACCTTGGCTACATAGTGAATTTGAGGCTAGTCTGCTATATGAGACTATATGAAAAAAAAATACTTTGACAAATATATACACCTTTTAATCACCACCACAATTATAATATACAGTACTTTCATCACCCCCAGAGAAAGTCTCTGTGCCTCCTAGCAGTGAAGTACATCATACCAACCACCTCGGAACCACTGATCTGCTTGACATTACTATGGTTTTACTTTTTTCTAGGATTTTCTATAAATGCTATCACATATATGTAATCTTTTCTGCCCAGATTTTCATATTTAGTATAATGCTTCTGAAAAAGACATACATGGCGATTTCTGTGTGGGTCTACTATGGGACTCCATTCTGTCCCATTGAGCTGCCTTTATCCAATAACTCACTTACTTGGTCTCTACATCTTTAAATAACCCTAAAATCAGATCGCAGGATTCTTCCTACCTCATCCCTATTCAGATCTCTTGCCTATTTTAAGTCCTTTGCATTTCCCATTTTGTTTTGCTTCTTTTTGAGGTTAGGTTTCACAATAGCCCAGGCCAACTTAAAACTCACCATGTAGCCCAGGTTGGCCTCAAACTTCCTGACTCTCAAGTACTGGGATGACACCACACTCAGCCAGATCCTTTGCATTTTCATGTGAAGTTTAAAATTGTCATAAAATTTTTCCGGGGGGGGTGAGAAAGAGAGAGAGAGAATGGAGGGAGAAAGAAAAAAAAGGGAGAGGAAGGAAGGAAGGAGGGGGGGAGGGGGGGAGGGAGGGAGGAAGAAAGGAAGGAAGAAGGGAGGGATGGAGGGAGGGAGGGAGGAAGGAAGAAGGGAGGACGGAGAGAGGGAGGAAGGAAGGAAGGAAGGAAGGAAGGAAGGAAGGAAGGAAGAAGGGAGGAACAGAGGGAGGGGAGGAAGGAAAGAAGGAAGAAGGGAGGGAGGAAGGAAGGAAGGAAAAGAGAAAATGAGAGAGAGAGAAAAAAATGTTGTTTCTGGCTGGGATTTTGTTGAGTCTATATAGTTGGGGCAAAATATTTTAACCACATTGAACCTTCCCGTTCATGAATATGGCCTTTATCTCCCTTTACCCAAGTCCTCTTTAATCTCTCTCAGCAACATATTAAAGGCCCTGCGAGCATTTCCCCCTACTCCACATGCTTTCTGTGGTTCTATACGTCTATCCTGGCAGCAGGTCGCTTTCTCCTGAGTAGAAATGGGGCGGAACCCTCAAGATAGGGCTGCTCACTAAGACCCCAATGTAAAAATGGAAGATGCGTCCACCCCAACAAGTGCCCAAATCGCAACGTAGAAACATGAGAAAGCAAGACAACATGGCTTCACCAAACATTCAGGGAAAATGCTAGACAAACAATTCCAGTCTAGCTTTCAATATGATCAGCAGCCTCAAAGAAGATGAGTGGAACACAGAAGTGAATCAGAGTTCAGTGAGAAATTCAACAAATACAACAAATGCACAGAGATTCTGAAAGAAAACTGTGAAGCAAATCTTGGAAATGAAAAGATTAAAACAAAACAAAACAAGAACCCAAACCAACTCAATGGAAAGCATCACCAAACAGATTGGATCAGGTGGGGAAGGACTGTCAGGGGCTGAGGATGAGGTTGAGGAGCTACCACACGCAGAAGCAGTTACAAAAATAGTGTTGTTAATAACTAACACTTCTGGGACATAGTTACCAGAGCAAACATAACTGTGGTGCAGAAAAGGGAACCAAGACACAGACTAAATGCACAAAAAAACCTACTCAATGAAGTTTTAACAGAAACTCCTACAAATCTGAGGAAAGAAATGGGTATCCAAACAGCAGTTCTTTAGAACCCTCAAAAGAATAACCAGAAAGTTACCCCTCCACAACACTACTGTTAAAAGGACAAGATAACAGAAGAAAGAAAGAATACTGAAAACTGCAACAAGGTCCAAGCTGCTTACAAATTTAAACCTGCTGGAAGAACAGCAGACCTTTACGACCAGTAGAGCATGGACTGGTAGCTTTTAATCCCCCAAACAAAATAATTCCAAGACAGATTGATTTACCCAGAAAAATTACCCTTTAAAACTGAATAACTGGAGTCACTGATGCCTATAAAGGCAGTGTGGCATAAGCCACTGAAAGGAATACTATACACAGAAGACAGAAAGACAAGCATAAGAGCTCAAGAAAAATAAATCTCACAAGAATACACTAATGTGAATTAGGATGGGCCCAGCCATTACTAGCTCAGTAAAACAGCAAACCCAGAAGATGAAGAAGAAAGAAATTACAACCTTTCAATAATCATGTAAATGTAAACTATCTTAATTTGTTAACTAAAATCACTAGAACTGGCTCAATGGATTTAAAACTAAGATCTGAGTTACTTCCTTTCCGCTAGAAGCTCATCCCATTGGCAAAGACACACAGAGACACAGACGGAAAGGATGGGGAATGATATTCCAACAGAATGGCTATCATCAGGAAAACAAAACCAGTGACTGTGCAGGCAGCAGGGTTTTTTTTCATACCTCTTCTGGGAAGGTAAATTAGGGAGGCCACTGTGGAAATGAATACGGAAGTTCCAAAACCTAAAAATGGAACCACTGTATGAACTAGTTATACTTCTCATAGGTGCATGCCTGCCCAAAGAGTGAATGCTTAATACAAAGACCTCCCCACCCTATAAAACATGCCACTGTTCACAACAGCAGAGATATGGAAGCCTAGGCACAGGTCAATTCATGAATGAATTTCTAAGTACTGCAATGAAGTGGTACTTTGCCATGAATAAGAATTACAATCTTTGCAGGAAAACAGATGAAACTGGAGATCAGATCGAGAAAAATAAACCAGACTCAGAAAAACAAGTATCAGCCATCCCATAACGCCAGTTCCAAGGAATCTGACATCCTCTTCTGATCTGTGGGCACTGCATACAAATGGTGCACTCACATACATACAGGCAAAGCACTCACACACATAAATTTTAAAAAGAAAGGTAATGGGGGGGGGTGAATTCATGCATAAAAATGTCTCAACATGTAATAGTGTTGTTAACCTGAGAGAATCTAGAATTACCTGGGAGATTCTGCACATGCCTGGGGGAGGGGGGTATCTTAATTATGCTAATTGAGGTGGAAGGGCCTGCCCACTGTGGGTAGTACCATTCCCTGGCTGGGATCCTGGATTGTATAAAATGGAGAAAGTAAGCTGAGCACTAGGCAAGCATTCATAACTCTGTTTCTTTGCTGTGGATGCAATGGGACCATCTGCTTCAAGCTCCTGCTGGTTTGCTTTCCCAACATAATGGATTATACCTTAACTGTGAGCCAGAATAACCCCTTTCTCCCTTAAGCTGTTTTCATCAGAGTATTTTATCACAGGAACAAGAAAAGAAACAAAGACAATGAAATTCATTATCTTGTAAAATTAATACTTGCTAATAAAAAGCTCTATCATTAAAAGAAAACCAAACTAAAGGTCTAGCACTTATTTTGAACAGTAAGTTCTTACTGACCATACCCACAGGTCATGCAGTCAGAAAAGCCAGTCATGCAGTCAGAATACACAGAACCTTAACCTTTAAAGTAAGGTCTGAGCTGGGCTTGGTGGCGCATGCCTTTAATCCCAGCACTAGGTAGGCAAGAGGCAGGCATATCTCTGTGAGTTCAAGGCCAGCCTGGTCTACATAGTGAGTTCCAGGACAGCTGGGGCTACAGGGAGATCCTATCTCAAAAAGACCAAAAAATAAAATAAAATAAAATAAAGTATGGTCTGAAGACCAGCAGCATTGGCATTAGCTGGGAACATACTGAAAATGCAGAAAGTTGATTCCATCCCACAGCTACTGAATCAGAATCTCCATTTTTAACAGCACCCCATGTGTTCTCTTTGCACTTGAAATGTGCAAGGCAACAATGTAGAGAAAATCCCTAGTTTCTGAACTCTGTAACAGGACTGTCAAGGGAGGTCATGAAGGTCTGCACA